ATGTGATACGAGGTTATTCTTTAATACAAGATTTCTTATGTATATATTAATGGATTCATGATTGGAGAAATGGAGTGACGGATCAAGGGTTGATAGATCTTGCTCGGGGCCTATGCACAATATAAAAATTTGTCAAATTTTTTATGTAAATGTGTACCGGTTTCATATGAGATTTTTGTCTAAGGGAAAAAAGTCATTTAATTTCGGCATTTGTGTTAAGGCAATTGATGATTCGATTGACAAGATATACTATCATGGGATTCTGGAAGAAGTTGTTGAATGATCATATCCGAGTTCTATTAGAGGAAGTGTGTTCCTATTCAACTGTATGTGATTCAATCTTGTTCCTGGTCCTGGAGCAAGGGAAAACAAATTATATAATATCACATAAGTAAAAGTGAATAAGATATATGCTAAATTTGACCCTTTAATTTTAGCCCGAAAGGCAAGTCGAGTTTATTATCTTTGATATCCACATAGAGCAATAGATAACATTAATTGGGTGGTTTTCATTTTGAGCAAACCAAGAGCCACCAATAATATTCAAAATAACATTGAGCCCGATTATCAAGATACTAAAAAAGATAGGTTTCTGTTTTGTACTTGATGCAATGGATGAAGAGCTCAATCTAAAGATTTCTAGTGGCGAATATGAAGAAATTAATTTCAAGGATCATTATGGCTCCAAAGATGCTTTCGAAGAAGAGATCATGACTGCATCCTCTAGTCACTCGTCAGACCGTGCTGAGTAAGATGAGTAATTTCAATGGACCTTTCATTAAAAATCATATTTCAGTTTATTATGTAGTTTCTTGTTTTTGATTTAAATAGTTGTGCCTTGCACTTTACATTATTGTGAATTTTTTAACTACATATGTGTTTTATGTTTATTACATGTTGTTTTGTTTTTATTTTATTAAACTGTATGATTTATGTACAATAATTAAAAAAAATATTCTTCTTATTGCATATGTCGATTGGAGGCAGGAAAGATCTCCCTCCACTCTCGGGGGTAGGCATGAGGGGGTTGATCACAGTGCTATCTGACAAAGAAGAACATCAGGAGAAGATGCTTGACTTCAACCTGCACTTTCACCTTGACCCGTTCACCAATCACTGCCCTTACGCTGACCACCACCCCGCCACCACCTTAACTCCCACCTCAACCCCCTCCTAGGCACCCGCCCAGCACCCCTGCCACAATCCTCACACTCACCCCTGCCACCACTCTGAGTACCATCTCCAGACCTGGCTATGCACCTGCCCCCGCAACCACCCTCATCCCCACATGCTCCTCCTCCCTACCTCTACCATCAAACCTACACCTAACTCCACTATTACACCCACCCTCACCCTTACCCCCTACCTCCACCTTGATTACAATGGGGTTGATTGCAACAAAGGCCACACTGCCTCTACCGGGCATGAGTCGATTGACAGTAGCTACCACATCGAGTTCGTCGGCAACACATACGTTTTTTTTAAGTAATTTTCAATAATCCTTTTATATTTCAAATTCAAAACTCTACCCCTGACCTAGACAATTTAGGTCATTCATGACGTAATTCAGATAAAGTATGACTCAAAAAACCTGATGTGGAAGGAGATCTCAATGGCCATTCAAGATCATTGAATTGAGGCGTTTCAAGTAAGTATCATTCATATATGACTTATGTTGTTCTTTATTTTTTTAACAATAGAGCACAATCCCTATAATATTTGCATAAATAATTCTCCTTGTGCCCTGAGCATGAGGTGCACAACTGGCGCAACTTCGAGTGCAAGGGTAGCGATCGCCTTTGGGACATGTTTGACGATATCTAGAAATCACAATAGTGTCATTTGTGGCTCAAAGAGGATATTTTTGCCACGCTACTTAGGTCTTGAGATTCTCTTGACTACTATAAGAAGAGGGAGTAGGCAAAACAGAATAGGTGGTCGGATACTGGAGGCATGATGCCCTCCAAGCACATTGGTAGGGCACTCCCACATATGGAATGCAAGATGAGGCTTGTAAGAATTCATTTCTTTTATAAAGTTTTTTAGAGTTTAAAGAATTATTTTAACTATTTAATTTTATGGGCAGATTGTGAAGATTGGTTGAGAGCCCTCCGTTGCCAATGTACATAAGCGCACCAATAGTAGGTGGTCAAATCCATTCTGGATTGACGACACATCTTGTATAACCCAGATAACTAACAAGCTAAATTATTTTGATGTTAAAACAAGTTATTTATAACTGAATGAAACTTTTTTTTGTTGATAAGAGAGATTCCAGCACCTGGAGGAGATCCGATCCCAGACATCAGGAGACTTTACTATCATCGAGCGTGATCCTTCTGAGTTTAACCTATGGAGGGAAGCTGCTGGAGGGGAGAAGAAGGGCCGAGTCTACAGATTCGGGTCCTAGTGGTTTGCCTACGAACTCACCCCTTCATCGGTGCATTTACAACTTCTACTTCTACAACACATGAAGAGAAGATCTCCAAACGTGTTACGACATTCTCTGTTGAGATGGAAGCCCGATTCTCTTAGAGAGGTCAGAGCTGGAGGCCAACATGGAGGCCAAGATGAAGAATAAGTTGGATTCTTTTCTGACAGTGGATGAGGGATCTTAACAAGACAACGACAACATTTGAGGTCGAGAATGCATGGAAGAACGGTGAGGAAGATGTTCATGAGATAAAGGAGGATGACCAGGAGGGTTTTTTTTCTTTTTTTTTGGTGTTTTTATACATCTGGACATATATTTTTCCTTTGAATAGTGACGTATAAATTTTAGAGTAAATGCATTTTAATTGTTTCATTGTTTGATTGGTAAATATTGTGATAGTAGGTGTGGTAATGTAAATAAAAAATAAAAATGTTTTTTTTTTCATTATGCTAAAGGTTTTTGATGGCTTACCATCGGTTTTGCAAAGATTTTATACTTATCTATAGGCAAAATCAACGGCCAGCCGATGAAAATTTTTGCCGACACATAACTAGCTGCTCAAGTTGTGTCACACAAAATTTGTGGAGCTCAGCAGTCTGGAAGCACGGGAGAACGTTCTTTTGCTGATATTTTTACTAGTATTCGATATTGGGTTTGGGTCATTCATAGCATTAGCATTACTACGCCTTCCCTATTCATTGCAGGTTGGTTATTCGTCAGTACGGGTTTATAAGCTTCATCGTTGAGAGGGAAACAACACTTATCACCAGCTAAGGCCCTTAAACTACGTATAGCCAACGACATTTCCTGCTTCAAAAAACAGACGGGCACGACAATTTTCCTCTTGTATGCCATCTCTCTTACCAATGGAAGAACCGTCGATTATATGAATCGATGATTTCCGATGACTTTATTTCCTGAAGGAAGCTACAACATCAATTTTTCGGATAGCCATCCATAAATTTATATCATCGGAATATCGATCGGTTTTCCAATTACTGACAATCCTCTTACCTATGAGTTTAACACCTTTGGTAAAATTAAAAATGACAATTTCTTTTTATCATAACCGAAAGATTGTGGACCCGAAAAAAGCCTAAATTTCTGTAGTGAATTATTATTGTTCAAGTTATATTTTATTGTATTTGTTTGTTAGGGGTCTATCTTAAGTTTTAATCTTTTTATGATTTTTTAATTTGATGGCTTCTATCTTATCTTACTTTTATCTGACTTTCAATCAACTTAATTTTTTTTTTAGTATTTTCTTTAATTAATTTGCCTTTTATTTGGATTGCCTTTAATAGGATTTTCCTTTAATTGATTTGATTTTCTTACTAAGATTTTCCATGTGACGACCCTATTTAAAAATCCAATCATTCTATCATCTCGGGGTTGGTACTCTTAGTAACAATTAACTAGATGGGTCATTGTTGGCAATCATGGGTTACCTCAACCAATTCATCCTTATAGACCAAGGTTGATTTAGTAAATTTTAAGTTTATGTTTTAATGGATTTTAGGCTTTTCCTTAATTTATGCTGGCAATGCAGCATTTACATTTTTTTTTACTTAGATTCACGTATTAGATTCATTAGTGCCTGTTTAAGCTCTAATTTTAAGTTCATCTTGCTTTATTTAATTACTTGGTGATACTTTGGCTTGCTTATGCATCTTGATTTGTCTTGATTTAGTTGGTTTGTTTCCTTCTGTTTAGGGTGCTGTTAATCTTTATAATTCCTGAAGAGTGTTTATAAGCTAATAATTTTTTGTCCTAAAGTCACACAGTCACAAGGGGACGTAATTCAACATTGTGGGTAGGCATTAGTTAGTTAAGGGAGACGGTGGTTATTATAGGAAACCCGGTTTGTTCATTCTTCTTCCTTTCGCAAGACTGGTTAGGAGATCAATAGGAAGTGAAGGCCAAATAAGAAGAATCTACTGACAATCAAGTAGTTGTTACAATGGTCAATATTTTGGTAACAATTTAGATTTTGTTGCAAATTTTAGGTTTTTTTAGTTCATAATCAATACAAATGTAGACAATTACTTATATTTATCTAAAATTATATTAGAACTTCCTTCATTTTTATTGATAAAAAATACACCACATTTATCTCTTATCAAAGTAAAATGTATTACGTAACCTTGATCAATTTGCAGAAGACATACTCGAGTCAGACGACTACGTAAAAATTCATTAGAAAATTTAGAAATTAATATTATCGTATTACGTGTTTTTTGAAATTATTCCTTAGTTGATGCTCAAGTTAATTTTAAAATTATAAATAAAAAAAAAAATATATTTGATTTTTTGGTGATTGTGAAAAATCATAATTTATTGCATGACAGAAAAAATTAGTATCACATAAAAATTGACATTTTTGTAAAAAATTATTACTTAAAAATTATAAAAATTATTAGGTTATGCAATTTAATTTTTGGGGTATTTACATATTTAGACAAAAATTTTTTTTTTTATATTTAAGATCTAAACATCAAATTTTCTTGTATAACATTATTGTACTATCACCACATTTGTTTCAAGAAGGGCCGAGACACAATAAGAATTAGTGACCAAACAAACGTTATTTTAATCTATAAAAATTGAAATCTTCAAAATACAATGCGTAGAAACAATAGGTAACATATTTCCAACACGTAGAACGAAACACCAATATCCAAACACAATGGGATCAAAGTAAAATACACGTACAATTTAAAAATACCGGCACATTATTGGATTCCAAAACAACGCCACCATAATTTTATCCAAGTAAGTGAATAAATTCATAAAAATATACTGATTGACTCAAGCTTCAGCTATCACGGGCTTTCACTTGCAGGTGGTGGTGCAGAAGACGGAATGGATGGGATTGATGGAACATTTGGAATACTTAAAGGAATTCCAGCTGGAATTGGAGGGAATGATATTGGTTGAATGCTGGGAATGGTGGGCAATGGAGGCAAAGCAAGCTTAGGAAAAGCAGGTACGGGGGCCAGCGGCGGCAACGTTGTAGGTTGCGGGATAGACGGAAGAGATGGCTGTGCAGGCAGCGTTGGAATCGGCGGTAAAGTTGGTTGTGGTGGCAGCGTTGGAATCGGTGGTGACTCAGGAGTCGTCGTGTCGAGGAGAAGACGTCCACCTTGGCATAGGGAGCTTTCGAGCAAGGCGAGTGCTGTAAAAAAGTAGAAGAAATGATTTACGTGGGCCATGGGGGTGGTGGGAGAGGAATAAGAGTGGAGAAGTGTTATTCGCTTGCTCTGTGGTTGATGAGAATAGAAAGGAGGGTAGTGTGCTATTTATAGGAGAAGAAAGATCGAGATGATGCTTTGGTCGTATGTTTAATTTAATTTTTAAAGTACGGGGTTTTAAATTTCTCATTTATCTGTTATTGTTGGTTCACCTTCCCATCTTCCGCTTCATTTTAAGGAAAACGTGTGTTCTCATCTCATCACTATAAGGAGATGTTGGAATTTTTTATTGCCAGGTCGAGATTACACAACAATTTTTATTTTTAATATTTTGTGGGAGGCAGAGGGACGATATATTAATTTATATTATTATTTATTTGCCTTGAAAAGTCTTTGTGTAAAAAAAATAGGTCGGGACGAATTTTAACACAATGATGGGCTCAAAAAAAAAGGGGCGGCGGATTGCAAAATACATCGTCCACAGCCACTAATGACATACAGTTTTCAAACGAACGTAGGATATTCCGAGCGATCGATGGTGAAAAAAAAACTCTTAGATCACCTAACAATTAGGACAACCGTCTTCAAAACAAGTCATAGTACCATGTCCCCCCAAATGACCACCTGCTTTGCCAGTGGCTCTACCGCAGATCGGATGATGACGAAAGATACATGAAACAGAAGACCGAAATGATTCTCATCTGTTTTGTTTTATTTATGAAATATTCCAAAAAGTTCATTAATAAGTTAATGATTATGGGGCATATCCGTAATTTCTTAGAACTATGACCCTATGTTATAAATAGAGGGTCCTGATAATAAAAAGGTTATAAACTCTTTACTGTTCTTTACTGTGCTCTCCTTCAAATTTTTTTTTTTCTGATGTGATGTTCTATACCTTGTGTGTGTTACCTAGACTGTTTTGGATTCAAGATCTTTTAAGGTGTAATGAAAGTGGGAATATGCCATCAAGAAGAGGAGGAGCTCAACAACTACAACAATGAGAATCTAGTGAAAAGAACATGGCAGAAGCATGATGCTCTTGGGATTCCATGGAAGAAATTGCTTAGCATGGCTTGCATGGCTTGAGGAGTCAGATCAATAACAAGACGTCAGAACCACTTGCTGAAGTGCTCAGAGCGAGGGCAGCCTTGGGGGCGGTCCAACTTCTTGGATGAGAACAAGCCCTACAAGAAGCACATAATCCTCCTCAAAGATAACCATTATAAAATAACGGAAGAAGGAACCTATTTGCAAGTGAAGCCCGACGGTGTGCTATACCAGGATAACACTAAATTTGCCCTTGTGGAGGAAAGGAAGGTCGGACCCCAATGACTACTTTGAGTCATTTGAATGTTAGATACGCCTACAAAAAATCTCTAACACTCTCAAATGTAAAATGTTCTTTTTAATGTTGAGATCATCCACACTAGAATGGCTCAATGGGTTACGTGTAGGTGTGATTACCTATTTTGCGAAATTTATTAGGTTTTATCTATCAGAGTTTGCCAGCACCCCAAGGCCACAAACAAGTGCCTGATCATTTTGACAGTTGAAAGAATGAGCCATTGAGAGCTTGCAATCATTTAATTCATGATTCCGGAGGGAAATAATAAATTTGAAGGACATAAAACCTGACATGGCCCAAGCCAGGCTATCATTGAGAGTATTTTGGAGAGATGATCATTCTATTTCCCAACAAAAACATGAATGCCAAACAACGACATGCTCGGCAATGGGCTGAATAACAATAGTCCTACACAAAAAAACAAATAAAAATTATATATCCTAACAAATTATATTAAATGACAGATTATCCGGAGGCAATTAATAATAAGAAAAAAAGACAAAACAACATGAGAAACAAAAGCCTCAGCCTTATTAATTCCTTTACATTACTATCCTTTACAATATTTCTCATTCCATCAGACTTCCCATTCCATGATTCTTCTTCCTGCTCTAAGTCTAAAAGAAGAACTCCGAGCTCTCCCATCTCTTGCCACATTTGGTCGCCTTAACTTTTCCTTTGGTAAACCTCTCGATAGTTAGAGAAGTCCCAACCTTGATATGATGGGAGAGACCCGCAGCATTCTCTCCCTAGGTTATCATCGTAGACATCTTTTATCTTAGTTTTCTGTTCCCTTTTATATGTGCCTCCACCTGTACCAAATGTTGTTGAACTTTGGACTTCCTCTCCTCAATGAAAAGCCCATGCATTTCAATTTATGAATTCATCAGGTGGACCTCTTAGCCTGCACCGTGGCTCTATCCAAGAAAAAGACCTAGAAGTGCAATGTTGATCCCTGGATACTGCTAATATGCACAGTACAACAATAATTTCACTTATATTTCACTTATATTTCCTTACTTTGCAACAAAACCAAGAACTTGATCCTGAAGAAAAATAAGAATTTAACTTTTAAGAAACTTGATCCTGAAGAAAAATAAGAATTTAACTTTTAATTTATATATATTGAGATACTACGCAAGTCTAGGTGTCGTTATCAAGTTATGTAAAACTTTTTGATTAAGACCTGAATATCGAACCCACAGGGAGAATACCCAATATGCACTATTGAACAACAAACTTTCTATTTTGAATAAAAAGATAATTATCTAAACTAAGGATTATTTTTGCAGTAATGAAAATTTAAATATTTTTTGTATTTTCAATATTTTGATAGAATAATAACAATTTAAAATGATAACTAAAGTTGATAACTAAAGTTTTTGTAGATAACTAAAGTTTTTGTAGAAGAAAAGCACTAAACATGTAAATATATCTTTCTTCTTATTATCAATCAGTAATAAGTATAGGAATTCTATTGTGGAAGTATGCAAATTGTGTTGTGCCAAATAGGAATAACAATATTCCTTACCCTTAGTAGAGATGCTATAAAGAACATTGGCTAATTTTAAAGTTTGAATAGTTCTGATGATCAGCCAGACTGGGAAGATACTAGCTCTCACTTTAGAGTTCCCTTCATTCCCTCCACCTAGGGGCTAACATTCTCGTATCAGAACCCAAAACAATAAACCAAGTTGGGGGCTTTAACTTATCACTTTAAAGTCATCTAACTCTACACCCTTCAATGAATATTTTCCTATTTATTTACACTCAATCGTATGAACTACATTCTCATTCATACAACCTCATATGATTCTTTCCAATTGTTGACTGAGACAATACCAGCCGGATTCTTACATGTTCTCACAACAAATTTTAACATCTAGATTGGCCAAATCAAGAAGTAAATGAAGTGTAGTATCATCAAAAATAAACATAAAATATATACTTAAAATAACATAATATTTTGGTGTATCATGTAGCTAACTTAGGAGACTTTTAGTTGAATCATTTAGACTTAGAGTTATAAATATATATTGTTAGTATTTGTGTGTAAGTGCTTATTTGTTCAAAAATAAAATTCTTAAAATATTTTTTTTAGTTTAATTTGTGTGTTTGTGTAGAACCTACTAGTTGAATCTTTAGTTAGTGAATGAGTGTTCATGACCCACAGGACTTGAACCATACAATTCAGAACTGTAGAAAACTATTTACAGGATTAGAAAATAGAATAAACTTCACAAGTTTGTATAAGAAATGACGAGCAATAAATAAATAAATTTAGATACCTAGAAATTGATTGATGATCATAATGTGCATAGACCATTAAGAGTATACGCTAATTATACGACAAATGAAATTCACTTAAGTATTCAAACCCCCGCTGTAGAAGCCAACAAATTTGAACTTAAGCTTGCTCTCATTCAAATGGTGTAGAACAACCAATTTGGGGGAACCCAGTGTCAGTATCTAGATGTGGGAAAAATATTTAATTTAATTTATTATATATGTATAATTTTGAAAACTAATCTTTTAATTTTGAAAAAAGATGACCGAACTAATTCCATTTATATAATACTTTAATTAAATGAGCACAACAATGCAAGTAATACATTTTCTTTGAAGAATAGACACATTACTTACTAGTGAGGCTCAACTAAATAAAGTAAAGTATTTATGACATCCATTTTTGTCTGTGAAACCAATTTATGTTGATTGAGAAATTTCCCCTTTATAACATGAAAGATTAGATAGGGTTTATATTAAGCTTGGTTCTAAAGTTTCCTATAATGACAAGACTCTATAGTTAATTACGTCTTAAATGAAAAAATTCACCTAAGAAAACTCTCGATTTAGATCAGAATATATTGTCTTGAAGAATTTCAAAGTTTATAACTTTATAAGGTTGGAAAAAAAGTAATATCAAATGAGAAAGGCTCAAGTTTGTAACATTTATTATGAAATCTAAAGAAAGAGAATTAGGGGATGTAATCGATTCTGAGGAGAACCTCAATTACTTCCCAAACTATCATATGGTTTGGCTTCAATTTCAAAAACAACTTATTAAATGTTTCATCCTTCAAATTTTTTAAATAGGGCTTACATTTACATGACACAGTCATACAAATAGCTTGCAATATAGAAGGATTTAAGTCGTAACAAATGACAGTCTCAGATCCTAATGCGAGTTAGGGCTTAAATTGCTCAACATGATTATGCAAAGGTGATCCAGACTTTTATGACAGTGTTACGAAGTATTTGTGGTTATATTCTCAATTTTCTTTTTTTATATTTCTTTCTTTACAATGACACCAAAAACTTGACTCCGAAGCAAATAAGAGTGCAACTAATATATTTAAATATTATGATACTACGGAAGTATACATATCATTATCAAGAAATATAAGACTTTTTGATGAAGCCTTGAATATCGAACACACAAGGAGTACTACAAATTTTTAAGAACAAATTAGATAACAAGCTCTACCTTAAAAAGTATTCCTACTCAAACTATAAATGTTATAATATGAATGAAAGTTCAATTTTTTTTGTAATTTTTATAATTGAAAATAAGTAAACAGCTAAATAAATTTAACTAGATATTTGTAATATGAAGGAAATATAAATAAATATCTTTTTTCTTATCATGAATCAATAATAAGTATAAGAATTTTTGTTGTGGAAGTACAAATTGTGTTGTGCTAAGTAGGAACAATA